TCACTCAAGTGCGAATTGGTTGACGTACACTGACTCAGAGGTAATCTACGACTTCCAGTGAACCGCGTTGCACAGAACATCGTGCGAAACCTGGAAATTATGGTTACGTCATCATTAAAGGCCGAAAAAACACCAATCGGGTCTGTGCCAGCACGTGGAGCATTCTGGGGCCTATTCGGTGATCTTTCAACCGGCTCAAGATGGACGCTTTCAGACTGCTGTACGCTTCTCATGTCATACCAAGACTTGAGTATCGTGGTGTGACGACATACCCCTGCAAGATCGTTGAACTGGCTGAGTTGAAGCGTGTACAAGGTGCCGTTACTAGACTCGTTGTTGGACTACGGGACAAGCCATGAAGGTCATCTACAGGCTACTGGTCTGTTCACAGTTGCGTCGGCGGCTTTGAGGTTTCTGATCTGTATGAGGAAGGTCCTAAGAGATGATATGGGCCCGGTGTTGTAGCAGCATTTCCTTTTACGGAGAGGGGATCGCACGCGGGGGCACCCTCTCACGTTGCGGAAACTTCAGTCAGTCGGTCTTCCGTTAGTCGACCAACACTCTGGAATTCCCTTCCAGCGACTGTGGTGGAGGAAAAGACAGCCGCTACTTTCAAACGGCGTTTGGATGAGCACTTAAAGGGGCTATGAAGGAACGAACACTTGAGATCGGACCTTCGACCCAGTTGTATTGAGGCTTACAGAAGTACCCTACCCTTTGCCCACCGTTCAAATTTTTGATTTGATAAATATCTAGTCTCCAAGTTGAGAAGTAATGCAAGCAAAGCCATTAAAACCGCCCTTAATCGTGTAGATACTTGCGAATCCACTTAGCAAACATATTCAGTAAGTCCTCGGGTGATATTTTTGAAACCAGTGCTTTCATTACCTACCACAATTACATAGAGCAAGGAAAAACGCGCTGTAATTTTCGCAGTGGCTGTAAAAGATTGCTGTAGAGCTCCAAAATGCCGCAAACCTTTCTTCAGCGGTATTCAGTGTGACTGCTGCGGATACTGGTGCCACCCAGGGTGTGCCCGCATTGACCGTGGCACCTACGAAACTGACGTGGGGGAAGACGCCTTGCAATAGCTCTGCTATGTATGCTTAGACTTAGCGGAAGGGGCCGGTCGTAAAACCCCTGTAAATGTAGGCAATACCGGAGTTTAAAATCCATAACTCACTGTATTCCCAGTTCTAACTGAAGAAAATCGTAAAGGAGCTAGAATCGAAAGTTACCACTCTGGAGCAGGAGCTGTTGCTTCTCAAGAAGGAGAACGACATTGCACTGGGTTGAATAGGAAACATCCTCATTTATAACAATCAAGAACCGGTAATACGAAGCGCGAAAGCCCGTGCAGATATAGAACAAAGGAAAGTGCGGGACCTCATGAAACATCCTGGGCTACCACCACATGCGCCCACTAGGAGGGTACTGAGAATCGGACGCTGGACCGATCCAGCAGGCAACCTGTGGCCGAGAAAAACTAGGTCTACCATGGTTGAATTCGGTCATCCCGAGAACCGGGAAAAAACCTTAGCAACTGCGGGGAAATAGAGTGTGCCACTGGGGGAAGGTATTAGGTTACACCTGATACCCGAAAACAGGGGCCATGGCAGACCTCAGACCAGGGCCAAGCACCCGCGATAGGGAAAGGTAAGATGGTCGGAAGGGCCATTCTCAAGGTATCCGTTGCCGAGGTCTCTACGGGAGCAATTCCTGTCAGGAAACCGGAACACCAATGCAAGCGGAGCTACGCGGCGGTGGTTTCCTCAAGTCCCATGCGGTCGAAACTGTTGGTACCTGCAGGACCGAAACCCATTGAGAGGTAGGGAACTAAGATAGGGTCACGCGTACCCCTCAAGCAGCCAAAGGTTGTGATACAACCGAGGGTTCAGAGAGCAATGCCCCTCAGTCTTAAGCTCAGAAGGAGCCAAACTCCACCTCCGGTTGTGCTAAGGAAAGGCGGAAACGACTGTGGGGCGATCGCTCGGCGTTAAGACAAGTGCGGAAAATTACACGCAAGTAGGTCCTAAGTCGAAACCCAAGCAGAAGGAAAAGTTGCCGGTTCTCCCAGCTGAAATCGTGGATCAGACGCTGACACCGATTGCAACCTCAACTTCTACTCAGACTCCAGAATCTAAAACAGCCGAAATAGAGGTCGAAGAACACAGCACGTACAAGGGGATGCATCATTGATTTTCAGTTGCAACTGAAACTGGAGATTAGGGCGGCTCGGTTATCAGTAATACGGTTATCAAAATGGCTGTAACACCAAAACGCGATTGTCCTGGTTCCAGCGAAACGACAAATACCTCGCCTGCATGCGTTCAATCAAATGACCGTTCGCTCGTTCTGGACAGTGGTAAACAAATCTCAGAGCAACGCGCAGCCCAAATTATCGAGAGCCAAGTTGATCCAAAAATAATCTACGGTACTATTTTTGCATTATTCACAAATATATAAGGCAGTCATAATTCAGATAATTGAGAGGAATTTTTAGTTCTTTCGACTGTTACAACAGCGTCCAGCCCCCTCTGGGTAAGGTCCCTCAATAAGAATTATAAATGCTCCATGCAGGATCTAGAACATAGTATTACGTCAAAAAACGTAGTTGTCCCTCGGGTGTTGTGCTCGAGTGCACTGATAAGTTGAACGAAAACCACCAACAAGCACCAGTTTTCAGCGTTACAGCCTAAAGCTGTGGTGCGTAAATGTGTGCAGCAGTGGAAACAAATGGGGTGATCTTGCGATAAACAACCAGGATTGCGATATGTTTATCCTTACTGAAACATGATTTTTAAAAACCATATCCGTGGAACAACCTGTCCCTCCAAACTTCACGCACTACAGAACAGAAAGAGAAGTTTCAAGAGGTGCCGCTGCT